AAGAGAAGGAGGATCTGCGTGTTTTCAGGCAGCAGATAACCTGTGCAATGCTCCCCTGCCACAGAGGAGGCAGCAGCCCCACTGCTGTGGGAACCATGCTGGAGTGATGGCATCAAACAAGGTTTAGCACAAAGTCTTGATCATCCTTTCATGTTGCTGCGTGGATGCGCTTCTGCATCTCCTCTCTGATGTACCAGGGTTGCCACATACATGGACCTTATGGGGCTGCTCATCCCACCCCAGTATGTTTCTGCTCTTGCTCGCAGAGGAGTGGACTGCAGCTTTGCCCCTTCCATGAGGATTTATATCACATCATAGAGCATCTTAAATTGGAAGGGACCCATAAGGCTCACCAAGCCTAGCTCCCTGCTCCTTTGCAGGACTATCTAAAGCTAAATCATACGACTAAAAGCATCATCCAGACAGCCTTTGAACTCTGAGGCTTAGTGTTGTGACCATTTCCCTGGGAGGAAGAGGAAGACTTTTGGTACTTTTGCCATTGTATATCCTTTTCCCGATCCATTTCTGCCAGCAGCCATGTTATATCATTAGCCTTTGAAGCACATCCCAGCCTTTGCGGGGACTTTGTGAGTCAGCGCACTCCAAATCCTGATCCGTACTGTGAGGCTGCACAGGAACTTCTTATTTTTAACTGTGCTACCCAGAAGAACAGTCTGAAAAAGCAGATGGGAAAGTGCTGGATGGGAAATGCGGGTTCAGTTCTGAGGCAGGCAATTAGGGAGGTTACCGACTCAGAGCCACCCAGCAATTACACTATGTCAGGTACAGGTACCGCTTACTTGCTGCTGGTTGTGAACATTCATGCTGGAAATGGTCTTCCTCCAGACACGTGGCTTGGTGAGATCCTCAGGATGCCTCTGGTAATGATTTACTGCAGATTTAATAGTGTTATTAGTTTAGCCAGTCAGACCTTTATCACAAGAGATTAGCAGGTGTGTGAGAGCTTTAATATCCTTGGCAGCTCTATTTCTTCCCCAGTAATTGCCTTAAGATGGTTTTACTTCACTGTCTGGATTTTCTTTCATTCCCCTTTTTATTTTCTAGCTTAATTCCTGAACGTTTTGCCACATTTTCCTTCCTCACACCAAGAAATAGCAGCTCATGACTTGTGAGTGCTACATAACAGCCTAAAGGCTCATTCATACAGCTCTTTAATTCAGCAGCTCCGTTCTTGTGGTGAATGGCTGAGGAGAGGAAAGCAGGGGTTCACTGAAAACATGTTAAGTGGAAAATGAAGCAAGGCAAAGGCTATGTGGCACCTGGGTAGCAGCATGACCCTGCAGCAACCCGGGGATGCTGGAGCATCTCATGGTGGGCTGGTGTTTGCAGCCACTCTATGCAAGCTGAGCTTCACAACAGTGAGTAGATACAAGAATAGTTCAGTCTCCTGCACCATCCAAGTACAACAGATCCCCAGGCTGTGGCTAAGCCTGTTTCATGGAGCACAGGAGCCAGCTTGGGAATCCTCCCCAGTGGCTTTGCTTGAGGATGTGGTCCTTGGTGTTTGGAGTGTGGAGCTGAGAGGCTCAGCTTGGCCAGGCACCAACAGCCACCTCTGGTAGGGGCAGGCTGCCAGGCAGATGGGACATCCCGAGCCAGCCCATCAGCAATGTGACTGCTTGCTTCTCTATGAAAACTGGACCCAGAGAGCTTGGCAGAGTGCTAAGGGATTAATTAGAAGGGTTAAGGAATGATTAAGGTTTGGCGATGTTATCCTATAGTGCACACAGCGTTTTGTGCTCCACAGTACCTGTCTGTCATCACAAAATCTCACAGAGACAGGGGTAAGGCGTAAGGGGACAAGCTGTTAATTCCTGGATGTTTCAGGAGCAGGAATATTTTTTATGCATTTGTAGAAGGAAAATCCCCTCACATACCCCCCCCCCCCTCCAATTCACAACATAAACCAGCTGAGCTGTCTTAGGGTGCAGTGAAGTAAGAGGGAAAAGGCTGGGCATAGGAAACATTTAAAATCAAAGGTCTCATTGCAGCTCCATGAGACTTCCCCATGTAGTGTGAGGATAATCACAAGGCAATCAGTGCCCCCTGCTCTGGAGCCTTGAGACAGCTCTTTACCAGTGTGCTCCAGGCACTGATTTGTTCATGGGGTTTCTTGCAATCAGCAAGAGACACCAAACGGGAAGACTGTGGCACAGATTCCTCCTTTGGGAAGATGCTGTCTGCAAGTGCTGTGTCTATATTGATGAAATACTTAAAAATACTATTTGAATAAAGTGTTGATGAAAGAATTCAATTCTATGACTTCCTCACAATCTTTAGTGAGTTAATGTAGAAAGTGGGGATGGGGATAGGCAGTTGCATGAGGCCACATTGGCTTTATAGCTGTGTTGTATCAGTTCTGAGTCTTAGGGCTTTGCCTAAAGGTGTTTAGCAGGCAAAGAAAGCAACTACTGCAACTCCTGTGCCCCTGGGGCTGACCTAACTAGTGGTGATGCATACCTAGGAGTCTGGGGAAGTTTTATATGATCCCCATATGGGCCAGGTGAGCAGTACTTTCCCAAAGGCTGACTCTCCCCAAGGGCTCCAGCAATCTCTTCATTGTGCCTGCTCTTTTATTTGTTCTTCTAGCAGCTGCCAGTGGTTTATTTTCATGCTGGATATAATCACAAAGGTAAACTGAGCTGCTAGGGGTTTTCCTGGAAAGCTCCCTAGTTCTTTACAACAAGGGTATTGCAATGCACTGGAAATCCAGGAACCTCATGCATTCTCCCAGTTCTTTTAGCTATTTGAAGTCAGGAGAGCTCAGGTGTTTGTGTATGGGATGCACTGTGATGGTGGGAGTGCGGGAGGAGACATGGGAACTCACCAGCCAGCTTCCATCCTCGTGAATCCCAACATTGATAAGTGTATAATATGTAAAATACCAACAGGCAGGAGTTCCCCTTGGGAGGACAGTCTCCTTTCTGCAGTGCTCAGGGTTGTTGCAGCGAGGGTGCTGACCCACCGAGAGGGCTGATGGATATTGGAAGAGGAATGGATATGTTATGTCTGTTGTCATCCACAGGGACTCAGCTCTTGCTCCACGAGTAACTGAGTGAGCATTTCTCAGCTTGTGCTGTGTCAGCATTAGTACTTCCTGCTGGCCCTACTCCAGCTGACTGTGTCCTGCAGAGTTTTTCTCTTGATCAAATGATGCCAGGTCTGGAATCAACCCCTGCTTTCTCCCTACTCTTTAAAACAGGACTCAGGTTAATGTGAAGGGGGTGGGTTTTTTTTGCATAATGGAGTAAGAACAATAGTACCAAAGAAGACCAAATGATGCTCAGCCCAGCATCCTGCTCCCAATGGTGGCTGGTAGCACGTGTCCTGGGAAGGAGCAAGAGTGGAAGTTACAGGTTATATACCTGAAACTCTCTAAGCCAGAAGTTGCATCGTTGTCTTTAGTAGCCCTTGATAGCCCTTTCTGCTGTCTCCTCTCAAACCCTTTCATTGCTTTCAGCCCTCACCACCTCCTCTGTCTGTGAGCTCAGTGGTTGCCATGCTCTGAGAAAAGGTGCTGCCTTGCCCTACACATGCTGTCTAATCATTTCACTGCCTTCCCCTGTCTATTTTATTATGAGAAACAGCCATTCTTCATTCTCTGTATGAGGGCTACGCACCAGTTGTGATTATATGTACCTCTATAATAGCTCATAAGAAAGATTATCTCTTTTATTCATCTCTCCAGTGGTTCACGGGCAGGAAATAAACCTGTAGCATCTTTGAGATAATACTGACAGTACAAGGACAGAACATGGAATATTCCAGAGAGAATTACCTAACAGCAACTCTCTGGAAGTCCTTACCCCAGCAATGGGCTGTCAAGAATTGGAGCTGGCTGCCCACAGAAGCAGTTGAATCACCATCCCTGGAGGTATTTAAATGATGGGTAAAAGTGGCACTTAAGGACATGGCTTAGTGGTGGACTTGGCAATGTCAGGTTTACAGTTGGACCCAATGATCTCAAAGGTCTTTTCCAACCTAAATGATTCTAAGTAAAGCTGTTTTAAACGTCCTATTTGGATAATGTGGTAAAATGCCTGTATTGATTGCAATAGCAAAGCAGAGAAGAAAGACCCGTGAGGAAAGGAGTGGAACTGAGATGCATTAGCAGCATTGCTGTGGGAAAACTTTGTCCTTGAGACAGCTAAAATCCACATTTCCAGCCTGCCTGGGTGCATTTGGAGAGAAACAAATTTCCTCAACCATGCACAGAGTGTGAGACATTCGCCTTGAGTTCCTTTGAGGAGACTGTTCACCACATACAGCTCTATCTGCTCTTGATCCCTTGAAGTGACAGGAGTCCCCTGGAGGCCAGGTTGGACAGGGCCTTAAGCAGCCTGGTCTAGTGGGAGGTGTTCCTGCCCATTGGAGGGGGTTGGAACTGGATGATCTTAAGGTCCTTTCCAACCCTAACCATTCTGTGATTCTATGACTGCCCATCAAAGTGCCTGACATCTGAAACAAGGAGCTTGTGTGGCCTGGAGGACACTCAGATGTCTTCCCAGCCCAAAGTGTAGAGATCTTTTATCAGACAAGAGGGGGAAAAAAGCCACTTCCCCAGATGCTGAGGTTTCACCTCACTCAAAGCCAGTGTGAGTCAGCCAGACACTGCTGCATTACACAGACCTGTTCAGGTTAATAAAATCACTGCCAGAGCCTGGGTGGCACATGGGATGCTGAGTGGCTTTTGCATTGACGTCACTGCTTCTCATTTACCCTTGGGGGATAGTGACCGAAATTCATTCCTACCTGGCACCCTTTCCCATAGCAAACAGGTGTCTGCAGCACAAAAGGAGCCATTCAAATCAGCAGGGCAGAGAGGGGTTGTTCATCAGAGGAGAGAAGACATGAATGAGTTGTTGGTGAGGGGAATTCACAGGCAAAGAGTGATAACAATGAGAGGCGGGGGGGATTTCACTATAGAAACAGTGGAGCATGGGGAATAGGAGGAAGAGACGCAGGGAGGCAAAGAGGAGTTAAAATGAACAATTAGACTTTATTATAGGAAAATAAGAACACTGAATGAAACTGGAAAATACATTGAAAAGTGTGAAGAGGAGACGAGCTTGCCCGGTGGAAGTGGTCCTTGCCACCGTGTATCTTAGTGGTCAGGAACGCTGTGGGGCTGGACAAAGGCCTGGGCATCTGCAGCAGGAGGGAAAGGCACAGGCACATTCAGAACATGCAGTCCTGGGTATTTCTGCCTCCATAGAGGATACAGAGACTCTCAGGGCATCAGGTATCAGTTCTTGAGCTGAGAGAAGGAAAGCATCTCCTCTGGGATGCTTTAAGATGTGAATGTCTTGCACCTTTGATTGCATTATTTGATCCTGGCCATTTTCAGAGCTGGGCCACTACCTGGGATAGAGCTGACCTGGCCTCTCCACCATCCATCCACTTAGGGTTATTCAGGGCAGGATTAAATACATGGGTAGGGAAGTGTCAGTATTGTGTCACATCTGGTCTGGGGATGGAGACAGTCAGGACCTGGAGGCAGTCAGCATTTGGAGGGAGCTTTTAATGCTCCTCACCCTGGCACCTTTTGCCAGCCCTAAAAATATGCCTTGAAAGAGGAAATAAAATATTCACAGGCTTTTCTCCACAGCTAAAAGCTCCGGCAGTAGGTACGCTCACATAATCACCTGCAAAAATGCAGATGTTCTCGTCAAACAGCACACATAAAAGCGATTTCTCACCCAAAGTAAAACCAAGGAGTTGTAATTTCATTCTCGTTCACACAAAAAGAGAACATAAATAGTGCAGGGCTCTGTTAAGAGGGGATTTTTTTGTTCTCCTGGAAGATCATTGTTAAAACGTTACTGAGCAATCATTACAAAGGTGGGAGTCCTGTCGGGCTGAATGGCTGTGTTTTGGCTCTGGTGGTTTTTGTAAGCAAAAAGCTCCCCAGAAGGCAGGAGAATATTACCTGAAACTTTGATTTGCCAGAACACAGTTCCCTTGTTCAGCAATTACAAAAAGGAATCCTAATCATCAAAAGCCTGAATTCCATTAAATGCAAAATCCTGTCCCAGGAATGCTGCTGCACTGGTCCTGGGACTTACTGAGAGGAGTGCCTGGCTGTGCTGGGTGCTGGTATATAGGTAACCAGGGCATGGGCTCTTCTATGCCACTGAGCATCAGGTGGGCATGGGGAAGGGGCTGAGCCTTAGTTTCATTCCAGCCTTTAGGGTCTTTGTTGTATTCCTTTTTTCTCCCACCTGTTCAGGCCTGATGTGTTTTCACTTAGACATCTGGGAGAAAGGCTTCTTTCATTTATAAATACAGATCCAGTGCTCAGCACAATAGAATTCTCAAGCGTTAGTGGGGCTTTCTGATGTTAAGGTAATAAAAGTATCCCATTTATTTATCAAAGCCTCCTTTAAAGGAGATGATGGAAGAAATAGGTTTCAACCTATTTCTGATCCTCAGGAAAAGCAAGCACTTTGATTCTCTCCTTCCCAGACAAATAGCATTGCATTCGTTGATTCTGATTTTATTAGCTATAAACCACTTTCTATTTTTATTTCCACATGCCATTGACTTTGGTGCAGACACGCCTGAGCACAGTTTTCAAGTGCAAATGATGTTAATAGATGCCCAGTTCTTTCCGCTCCACCTGCAGTAACGTAGCTGGGAGAAAGAGAGCTGATGCCCAAAAAACATTTTCCTATTGCATTTCCTACATCACCTCCAAAGCCACATTATCCCTTTTGAATTCCCAAGTGCAGAGCGGTGATGGCTGCTTTAGTGCTTCTGGCTCTGTCTCTTCACATCAGGGGGATTTGTTTGCATGGAGGACTGAAACAATCAGACAATGAAATCTCAAGGGGTAAAGTATGTGAAATTCTCCTCTACTGTTACTTTATTATGATGCTGTTCTTAGCATTTCTTCCCTGCTTGCAACTACAACTGATGGGTTTGGAGCTCAGAGTGCCTCTTATTGCTGCTCTTTATCAGCACAGGGCGAGCAGCAGCAAGCAGTCAAATCATTGCTGTATCCAAACTGCATCTCTGCATCCAGAGATGGAGCTGCAGGGAGAGCTCACTCGTTGGGAAGTTGATCTATGTAATTATGTGGCTGTTGACTGGGCAACAGGCTCCACATCCAGTTGTCCCCAGTAAAAAGCTTTTGTCTTAAAATTTGATCTGAGTTAAAATATGTCACTTTTTTCTCTCATTATTTGCTTCTTTCCCTGTCTCAGTTTTTGAACTGGTGGTGGGAGTGATTAGAAGGAAGTTTTTTCTCCCATCATTAAAATACCTGGCTCAGAAAGTCCTCCTAAGAGTCATTAAATGCAGGGGAGGGTGAATCACAAAGAAGTGTTCTCACTGGAGACAGTGTTTGGGGGTGGATGCTGGCAGCAGTTCAAGTGTCCACACTTGTTCTTGTGTCCGTGACCTCCCTGACATCTTCTGCCCATGGTAGGGGTGGCAGAGGGTCCTTTCTTTGCAGGGTCCATTGAGCTCTGGTAAGAGAGCAGCTCTGGGACTGAGGAACGGGTTGTCCCTTCAGACAGAGAGAAATTAAAGAAAGAGACCATTCTTTGGTGGTATTTGCTCTTCATTTCCTTGGCTGACCTGTAGAGGTTCCCAACAAAGCAATAGCATATGGGGTTGAGGCTGGAATTGGTGAGGCCAAGCCACTGGGCATAAGGTCTGAGCTGCAAGATCCAAGGAGAAGGAGTCACATCCTGCAGGGATTTGGGGATGTTGAAATCAATCCAGATGTCCATCAGGTAGACGGGCAGCCAGGAGATTGCAAACAGCAGCACCAGGGCCACCACCATCTGCGCTACCTTCTTCCGTATCTTCAGCCTGGAGGCTGGCAGAGATCGGTTCAGGGCAGTGCTCTCCTTCAGCTGGCCGCTGCGGCTCCACAGCTTGCGCACCGTGAGGAAGCAGATGACCATGTTGAACAGGACTGGCAGGCAATAGAGGGCACAGAAGAGCAGAAAGTTGTAGGCTTGCTTGAGCCTCTCCTGAGGCCAAATCTCCCTGCAGATGGAAAACACCAGAGGCAAGCCCTCCACCACCCCAATTTCATCCCGTTTGTTCATGAAGATGAGGGGCATGCATATCCCTGAGGATAACAGCCACACCACCAGGATGGTGCTGAGGATCCTTTTCTGGGTGAAGAAAGACCGGGCGTTGAGTGGGTTATGCACGCTGTAGTACCGGTTCACGCTGATGACGGTCAGACTGAGGACGCTGGCGGAGACAGAAACAGCCTGGATGAAGGGCACTGCCCGGCAAAGGAAGTCCCCGTACACCCAGGCTTTGTAGATGAGGTTGCCCACGGTGATGGGCATGCAGACACACACCACCATGAGGTCGCACACTGCCAGGTTGATGAGGAGGCTGCGGGTGGCACTCAGGCTGGACACCCGACTCCGACGCTTCCGGGTGAGCACCCTGATGGACATGATGTTGCCCACAAAGCCCACCACGAACGACACCAGGTACATCGCTGTGAGGCTGATGGTGACAGGCTCCTTCACGAAGAGGAAGAGCATCTTCTCCAGCTCTTCCCATCCCAGCTCCTGGCTCCCATTCCAGAGCCCACCTTGGGTCTGGTTCTCCTCCTGCCAGAGCTGCAGAGGGCCGGGGGGGATCCCGGGGGTTGGGAGGGAGGAATTCATGGCTTAGCCCCCCCGGGCTCCCTGGGCTAAAGGGGCCGAGCCTGCCGCGCTGCCCTGTGCGCTCCGGGCATGTTTAGCCGGGATCAGCCGCGCCTGCAAAAGACGGTGCAGAAAGAGGAGGGTGAGCGCTGTGTTCGGGGTGTGCTTTCCCTCCTCGGGGAAGGGACCAGCTCTCAAATGGCTTCTCGGCAACTTAGTGAAGAGGGGGCCGTGAGCGCCGGGCAGGGCGGGCTGGGCAGCGGGCACCGGCCCGGGGCTCCGTGCGGCCGCGGAGAAGACAGTGCCTCCAGCGGGAGGGAGAGGAAGGGGGGCACGGTGTCCGCTGCACCGCGAGAGAGCATCCCCGGCCCGCCGCGACTCCCCTCCCTCTCGGGAAAGTTGCGTGCCCCGCTCCCAGGCAGCCCCCAGACCCCCGCTTGTCCCCCCTCGGTGCCCCGGTCCCTCGGTTCTCCCCCGGTCCCGCGGCGCGGCGGCACTTACCGGACGGAGGATGGGCAGCTCCCGGCCGGGCTCCTCCCGAGGGCAGCTCTGCCGTGCGCGGCACCGCAGGGGCCGCTGGCACCGCCCGCACCCGCATTCACCGAGCGGCTGCCACCGCACGGCCCCTACACCCCGCGGCGCGCACCCGTGTCCGCACTCACACGGCGCTGCACAGGCACAGCCCCCGCCGTACAGCCCCCGAACGGGAGAGCACACGCACAGTCCTGCATGCGGACCCCGACAGACCTCCCTCTCCCTACACCCCCGGCACGCACGCACGTCTATAGCCCCCCTCACACACTGTGTAGCCTCCCCTTGCAAGCACTTGCCTGCACGCACCTTCCTAAGGTGCCCTGCACACACACAGCACCCACGTCCCGCGTGTCCGCGCCCGATGCGCACTCCCCCGGCCGCTCCTGCTCACACACGTCCCGCACACACTGGAACGGCTCAAGCTTTGCACCCCCTCTGCACCCACACCCGAGCACGACCGGACCGGGCATAACCATGCCGAGCCGAGCCGAGCCGTGCCGAGCCGAGCCGAGCCGTGCCGAGCCGAGCCGAGCCGTGCCGAGCCGTGCCGAGCCGAGCCGAACCGTGCCGAGCCGAGCCGAGCCGTGCCGAGCCGTGCCGAACCGTGCCGTGCCGTGCCGAGCCGTGCCGTGCCGAGCCGAGCCGTGCCGAACCGTGCCGAGCCGAGCCGAGCCGTGCCGAGCCGAGCCGAACCGTGCCGAGCCGAGCCGAGCCGAGCCGTGCCGAGCCGAGCCGAGCCGAGCCAAGCCGAGCCGAGCCGAGCCGAGCCGAGCCGAACCGTGCCGAGCCGAGCCGTGCCGAGCCGTGCCGAGCCAAGCCGAGCCGTGCCGAGCCGTGCCGAGCCGTGCCCGCCGGGATCATGTACCCCGTCAGTGGTGCTGAAGGGACAGCTCCGCGTCGGCCGGGCAGGGAACGGGCAGGGATGGGCAGGGCAAGGCTGCGACCGGCCAGGAACAGGGAACAGGCAGGGCAGAGGCGTACATGTTCCGTGATGTTCCCCTCTCTTTCCCCTCTCCAGTGGTTCCCTGCGCTCAGCTCAGTAAGGCAGGGAGGTGGCCAGGCACTACAGTTCTTGCTTCTACTCTTACACAGGATCATAGGATCACAGGATGGTTTGGGTTGGAGGGCACCTTCAAGCTCATCCAGTTCCAGCCCCCTGCCACGGCGAGGGATACCTTCCACTAGACCAGTTTGCTCAAAGCGCCATCAAACCTGGCCTCGAGCACTAAACCTGAACACCTTTGTGAAGTTTAATTTGTTGTTTGGGGTAAATCATGGTGTTTAGAAAATAAAGGCGTGATAGATTGAAATGTCTGTTATAATTAAGAATGTATTGCACCACAGCATGGTATACACCGTGTTTATGGGCACTCTGCTATGTGTCATAGTAATACTAGTTTGAAGGGAAAATATTGAAACTAGAATTTTTGCTTTTCCCTTAAAATTAAATGCTTGAAGCATCCAATTACAGTAAAAGTAGGCTTTTGATGGGAACAGTGTTTCCAGCATAAGTTAAACACAGATCCTCATGAAACTTCTGGCCCAGTGCAGCCTTTGAGTTGCTTCTTTCCCCAGTACAACACTAACAGCATCACTCCCGTCTTCTACTGTGCTCCCCAGCAGAGGCTGGCACGCCAGCAATTAACACCACCACACGTATTGGAACCCACTCAAGCAAAGAGCACTCCAGAAACGCCAGGGTTTTGTCTTTTCTCTTACACTGAAGGAATGGGAAGAATGGGTCATAGAAAAGATAGATGAAAGAGTTGAATGGCTTGGTTGGGGAGCAAGATTGGTTTGTGAAATGCAGCTTTTGACTGGAGGTACCCAGATGGTGCTGGTGAATCAAGGGGGGAAAGTCTGACAGAAGGAACTGCTACCTCTGCCTGAGGGGTTTGGTTTTAATTTGTTTTCTTTGCCTTCTCCGAGAGAGTGCAAGGTAACAAACACAGCCCATGTGAAGGCTGCTTGTCACTGGATGGTGACTGCCCTTGATATCGGTGGGAAATTCTCCATTCAATTTAATCTATTTACGTGAAATAAGAAAGTAAATATTTTTGGTCAGCCTTATGTGAGATGAAAGGAAGATCAGCAGTGGAATCACATTTGGGGTGGGGGGAATGTGATCAGCGTGTAAAGCTCTTCCACGTTACAATGCATTCGCATTAAGCTTGTGAGTGCTATTCCCTTCTAGTTTTATGTATGTGTATTTATTTATAGCTCTTCAGAGACAAACAACTTCTACAAACTAATTACAGTGTGCTGCCCAGAGCACAAGGTACACATTATCCTATGCGGTGAAATGCATGGATACTCTCATGGATGCCTAAAATCTGCTGCAATTTCACAGCGACTCCACAAGCAAATAGATCTGTCACAGAGGCAGCTGCACAGGTCAGGGTCAAAGCTAGCAATGGGGAATCACTGTGCTCCCAAGCCCTTGCCAGCCACTGTCCAGCCTCCCTAAAGCAGAGCTGCTATTAGGCACAGAAAACAACAGGATGGAGGTGGTTAAGTCAACAGTTTTAGCAGGGTGTTAACAGAGTACAAGAGAACAGAGTGAAGAAATGTGCCAGGGCTCTTCGATCGCATTTTGTTCAGGCAGTTGCCTTCCAAACGTTCAAGCTAATAAAAGCAGTTAACTTCTTTTTCTTTTCTGCCCCATGCACTTTATTTGTGACCTGCATGATTTACTGCTAAGGAACCTTCAGGGCTTGAAATACCTGACTAGACTACTAAGTTGATCAGAGGTTTGATATAATTACAATGAATCTGCTTTTACGTCCATTGGCACAACTCACAGATGCCAACTCTTCTCTACCGGCGAATGATAAATCTTACACGCTGTGTCCAGCTGATAGAGAGAACAGGGCCACTGATTACAATGAGTTCATTGATTCTAACAGGTTCAAAGTCACCGGATAACTCAGGATGGGGAACCTCCAACGAAAATAAATGACGTTCCCCACTTACGGAACAGCTTTGGAGCAGAAGCTAAATACAGCCCACAGGAGACAGGAGCCATCCTTCACCAGCACGGATAATGGACTGGACTGCGATGCACATCAGAAATAACCCACAGGAGTCACAGCTGTGAAGAACTGACCCGAGAGGAGCAGTGATTCAGCCACTTTGGGCCTTTGCCAGGGCCTCAGGAATACTCACAACAGCTCCCAAGCCTGCCTCGGCTGCCAAACCTGCTCTGCCCTCTGCACATCAGAGTCCCAGGGCAAGGTAAATTTAGCAGAGCTGTCTCAGCACAAGCTCCCTGCTCCCGCTGCAGCACAAGCTGGGTGTCGCACAGCTGCAGTGACAACTGCCTGTCCCAGGCCCAAGAATGAGTGCTAGCTCTGGAAACCCTGAGGCTTTTCCAGCTTATGCTGCTGACCAGGTGCACCTTGAGAGCGTGAAGGTGGAAGAATTCCTCCACTTGTGCATCTACTTACAGCAGCACATGTGCTTTCCCCACTTAGACTCTTCTCCCTGGACAGTGCTCAGACTCCCTGCTGGTGCACAGCCTCCAGTGGAGCTGCATCTTTGACCCTGTGTGGTGGCTGGCACCCATCTGAAGGGCACTTTGTGTTCTTAGCTTTCCTCCTCTGCATATCCTGGCATGCCTGATGTGTCTCAGCTGCCATGGCTTGACCTAAAGACCTGTTTTGAGGACATAGCTGCTTTCCCCCACCCCATGCTTGCCCAGCAGATAGGTGCTGGTTGGACTGCCCTGGATAAACCCCACCTTCATTGTCACTTACCCCTTCTGCCTCTCTCACTTTCAATGGCTGACATGGAGATGGGAGGACCATGGGGTAAGGGAGGCTCCCTGAGCCCCTGCATCTGCCCCTCTGCTGTGTAGGCTCTTTCCCCTCCTAGGGACTCAGTGGCCACTGCAACCCTTGAGGGTCTATATGAGCATTTCTGATGCTTAGTATAAACAGGAGTAATACTGAAATCTGTTTCTTTGGGTCTTGCCGTGGGGAAAGAGTAGCAGCATCACCATTTGCTAACTTTTATTAGACAAAAAAGGTGTCCATCCTTTTTAGCAACAAAATCCCCATATCCTGGGTGCCATCGGTTTCAGGGACCTCTGAGCCGGCTTTGCCGCTCCCTCTGCTGGTGGCTGCTCCGTTCCCATGCCTTTGCCGCTCTGATACTGCCGTTTCTGGGGGCACACAAGCTATTTCTGGCACCACAGTCCAGGTCCTCGTCATAGCTCTGGCGTGGCATTCGCTGATGTCAGTGCATTGACGGAGCTATGAATCCAGGAGGAGATAAGAGGACAACGCTGTGCACAGCCAAAGACAATACACCGAAGATGCCAAGTGCACTTCAGATGCTTTGACAATAAAATAACAAACAAAAAACATCTGGGAATTGATGTTCGTTGTTTGTAATTACTTTTATGAGAGTGGAAATCTTTCTTCCGCCACTATTCTTCCCCCTCAATCAAAGATTGAAACGTTTAAAGTATTTCAAGTGTCCTTTGGAGAATTTTAAATGGAGAATGTGTGCATTTCAGCGCCTGAGAATATTCACTGATGCTTGTTTTCATAAACAGATATGTGCCAAATTCCTTATTTTCTCTCCTTCTTGTTGGAAACCTCTTAGATTGAGCACTGTGGAAATGTGGCTGAAACAAAAAGATGATTTTGTTCAGAGGAATTTGTCTGATATGCTGTTCACTTGCTCAAGGACAATGAAACACCATTTTGGCATCAGTGTGATTGATACATGTCTTTCAGATACCTTTGCTTTTGGTTTGTGCAGTAGTGCAGGCAAGAAGCAGGGTGGGGAGCACAGGTCTGAACGTGCTTCTGCAGGGTCCCTGCTGAAAACCAGGACCATGCCAAGTGAACTGGACCCTGTCTGGTTAAAAGGAGAGTCACTAAATGGAGACGTACTGCATAACAAAGTGGGTTTTCAAAGGAGAAATCAGTGCTGTGTGTCCCTAATACATTGCACGAATTTAGAGGCAAGGTTTTGAAGTGATGCAGAGCATCAAGTCAAGAAGTTTAAAGAAACCAGGACTTAGCAGGGGTGCCAGCTGACACACAAAGTAGCTGTCTGATAGCCCTTCTCTCCTGTGAGCTGTGATCCAGGATCAGCTGAAGCAGTGGTGGGATTTCCTCTGTGTCTATCTGTTATGTGGCAGGCTCACCCTCTGGATTAATACAGGCACCATCAACCCACAGAATTAGAACCAGCCCAAATCAAGTAGATTTGGTAACTGGGGAAATCTGGTGGTTTGACCAGGTCTGTGGGGCTCCTTTTCATCCTGTTGTAACTCTAGTGGTGTAAGCAGTTTGCCACTGATGTTAGTGAGAAGAGAGGCAGATAAAACAAGGGGCTGCTAAGGCAGTCAGTCCTCTATCCTAGCTACATGCTGCCAGGTTTGCATACCAACATTGCTTCCCTGGTGCTCTCTCCCCATAATAAAGCCTAATAAAGGGCTTTCTAGATGAGAAAGCTTCCTAGTTGCATCAGCTGATTGCCATCTGGGGGAAGTCTCTGACAAGGGCTTTAAATTTGCCACTGTTTGCCTTTTCCCAGCTGCAGAGGCGAAGCACAAGGAGGCAGGAAGGAAAGGCTCTGAGAAACAGCACTCTCAGGGCCCCTGTCTGCCTCTGTCATGGAGGAGATAAGGACTGGAGAGAATACAATAGGAGGGAGTCTGTCTCTCTGAGCAAGATTATTTACTCTAACCTTAGGTGATGCTTTGTGGGTAGCTGTCACAAAGCAAATGTGGCTGGGATCTGGTTGTAATAGGAATTAGAACATGAGCACATTTGCAACAAGGGCTTGGTGGTCAAGTGCTATGTGTTTTTTAATAAGCTTTCTTATGTTTTATACTCCTAACCAGAAAATCCTTGGGATTTCTGCTCTGTGGATTCAATAAGGAATCAGCTGGGAGTCAGGGGGAGAAGTGATGCTGAGTCTGAATGCACTCTAGCAGCCTGCTCTGGTGTTTTGACAGGTAAGAAAAACAAACTGTGAGCTGCTATTTATTTTGGGCACCCTTTTAAAAGGAATCTCCCCAAATGGAGCTGTAGAGCATCAGGCAGGCAGAGGCCTTGAGAGGCTGCTAAACTCTGTCAGGATCAGTAGCAAACTTTTTCTCTCTAGTAATAATGCCTCACCTCTCTGTGCAAGTGATTCATCTGGAAAGACTTGGGCAATTTACTGGAAGTACAATCACTGCCCTCTCCACTGACCACGTCTGTCTTTGTTTCCAGCGTGTGCTCACAGCAAAAAGCAGCTATAGGAAATGAAAGCTGACAGTAGATGGAGTTCAGCACAAAGGCAGAGGTTAGAAGGTAAACCAGCTGCATCCCAGTTTTACTCCTGGTGTTTGAAAGCAGCAAGTTTGTTGTGCAGTAATTCACACAAATGTTACTAAGCTTAAGAAAGGACAGCTTGAGTATTAAGGAGGGATGTTGGTGGCTCTTTGGTTGTTGTCTGGGCTGGAACATGAAACAAGCTAGGAAAATACTGTTTAGTAGCTAAGACCACAGCAATGCTACCTATGGATAGATGGAAAATCCCTTGGGTCTGAGGTGCCCAGCAGCTCTGCTGCTTCATTTAAGACTAAGGTGCTGGCTGGTCTGTGTGACCTGGGTTGTGCTGCAGCCTGGTAACTCACTGAAGCTTGGGGTAACATCTGATAGATCATGGGAAGTCCCACCCAAACCTACCTATGGTTATATGGCCAGGAGCTGTATGATGAGAGCACCAGGCTGGAGGCAAGAGCATCCTGTTCCCTCCTTTTTCTGCTCTGCTGCTTTCCTGCATATGCCTTGGTTTCCTCATCTTCACAAGGGTGTTAAGATAATTCCTTCTCTTTACAGTTTCCTTGGACCCGTATGGTTTTAAAGTGCTTTATAAGACCCAGACAGCTTACAATGGTGTGATGGTGCAGCAAAAGTATCCTGATCTCCTTAGGCCTGTGTCTTGTGCTCTGCTAAAGTCAGAGATTTGGCTAGCTGTGTTTATATAGCTTGAAGGAATGACACGATAGATTGCATCTAGCTTTGGTAAGAGGGTCTTGAACAGACTGTGGAACTGGAGGGCCGGTAAACTTGGGCATCAGGCTCTTTTCTGTCACCCTTTCCTTGGGTGATACACAATAGCACAGCTGCCAAAGTGATACCATCAGCTTCCAATTCTTCAGCCTCTAGAGCAGATCCTTTCTTTCATAACATAGTATTTCTCTAGCCTGCATTTAATGTCTGCAGCTGGTACCTGCTACCATGCATGTAAGATCAGGAATGGGAGGGGTACTTTTGTGTCTGAGCTGGCTCTGGGTGGAGATGCTGCGAGTCAAAATGGCTTTATAATGCTCTCTTTAAATGTAATAAAAGAAACATCTCTCTTCATTGCAGTCTGGGGCTGCCTCAGAACTGCCTCTTCCCAATCAGAACCGAGACTTACTCCTCCTTTCTTCTTGTGTGGTGTTAATTTCTTTCTGTCATATCCTTCAGAGAAAGGCTGAACATTTGCCCTTCGTATTCCTCAGTCCTGCCAGTGAACACGTGTGGCTCCTGAGCATTTACAGAGTTTGACAGCCCACGTTCTTGAATAAGCAGCCTCTTGCATAAGGGCTCAGACGTGCAAAGAAGAAAGTCATTGCTGATAAGGTCTGCACTTTCAATAGCTATTTCTGTGGCAAGGTGTTGGGAAAGCAGGAGCCATAGGGGATGTGGGAAATCAGAGATGCCACAGTCATTGTCCATGATCACTGAGCTGCACCCCAGTACAGTCACTTGGGATCAGTGGGGAGGTGAAGATCTCTGCTGCAGCTCAGCTGTTATCCATCATTGAAATGGGAGGAGAAAGGGAATTGTTAGTTAAATGGTTAATAGCTGCCTTCTTCCTGCCTTTCGTTCACCAGAGCTGCCCTCTAGCTAGATGTAAGTAGCTACAACTCCAGCACTGAAGTCTGATGAAAGAAAGTGAGTATGTGCAGATGCAGCCTGTACATTTCCCCCTTTTTTGTGCTTTCCTAGAAGTCTTCCCCACTGGCAACAAATCCTTGTACCTTTTCCCACCGTGCTCCCTATCTCAATGCCAGACCCAGTGTCTGATATTCAACTGTCCCTTGCTAAGGCTGGCAGAGGCAGTGTCACTCAGTCCAATGCCTCCAGGCTGCTGCCCTGCTGATGTGATTCTCACTGACGTGGGAGCTGTTTGCCTACCAGCCTGTGAGGGAACTGCTGGTGCTTGCTGCTGGGGTATGCGATGACTGTCCACAGTGTCAGTGGTACCAAGGAGAACTCTCTGCTCATGCATCAACAGAGGCTCCTCAGGACATCTGCAGCACTGACACTGCCAGAGGGGGCCTTGGCTCTTGGAGTGTTTGCATAATGGATTACAAGCATGACTTTGCCACTCCTTGATCTAGGGACAAGCCAGAGTGTTTCACTGAGCTCTGCAGATCCAGCCCAAATGGGGAGAATCAGTGGGAAAGGGGAAGAGCCCATATGGGAGGTCACCATCTCTCTCAGGTGCTCCTCTCTGGTTTGTGTAATCCTGCTTTATAAGCAGATCCTGCCTAGGATAGTCCCATCCTATGGTGATTGCTCTCTCTGGAAGTGTTTCAGCCTGGTTCTTGTCCTGCACTTGGTCACAGCAAAAATACCAAGCTCAGCCTTTAGGCTGGGCAGCAAATCCTGGAGCTGCACCCCGGCTGCCTCTGCTCCTACCCCTTCAAAAGGTCTGCTACTCTTCAGAAATCACCCTTGGGCAGGAGCCTGTCTCCATCGGTTCCATCCCCAGTTACAAACCCAGGGTCATAAATGGGAAGACTGGTTACAATTTGGAAGGATTTATTTGTTCCCTTTGATCGCCTCAATGCCAGCCTCTGTGCAAGCCTAAAGTGCCAACCCCCCTCCTGAGAGTGTAATTGACCGTCATAATTGCGGGGTTTCGTTCTACTCTGGAGTTTCTCCTTAAGGGGCAGATGAGGATCACAGTCTTGGAGAGCATCTCTCATTCTCCATAGAACTGTGCCAAAGAGCTATATACAAACAGCCAGCCCTGGAGTTTTCCTCCCAGAGATGCTCTGTAGCTCCGTAGACCTCTTTTGCTCTGATGACCCCTTCACCCTTGGGAGTGTTTTGGCTGGAGGAGGCAGCAGATAAAATCCTGACGCTAACAGCAGTGCTGTGGATGTGTCGGCAGAGATTGGGCTCTCTTGGTGCAGATGGTTATGGAGTGAGATCAGCTGCTGACAGAAGCTCGGGGGAACGTGGTCAGGAATCAGCACATAACCTCTGCTGCTGCCTCATTTTTTGTGTCCACTTCTGGAGGACAATCAAATCACACTGTGTTTCTGCAGCAGTGCCTACAGATGGAGTTTGCAGCCATATAAGTACAAAGCATCACCCTTATAAATGATTTAATCACTTTTCTTCCATGAGAACTGACCCATCAACCTCCGAAGAACAAAAAGAACGTTTTCTCTCAAATGGCAGCTCAGCATTATCAGATGCATGACACAGAGATCCCAGTGGGCCTGCTTGGTCTGTTTGTGCCTGTTTTACTGAAGGGATGGCCGTAAGAGTGAAGTTGTTGAACCGCTGAGTTACACCACGACAACCAGAATCTGAGCCAACCCCCTTGTCCCTGTTCTGACGGATTTATTCCAGACCACAGGAAGTCTCACTATCTCCAACCTTCCTGACTTGCAACCAAGACTGTGGCCATCTCCAAACAGTGTTTTCTGTTCTGTTTGGAGGGAGGAGGTACCAGCTGGGCCCATTTGGTTTCCTGTTGCACCCTTTGCCACGAGGACAGGATGGTTTCCAATTAGGGTTCTTTATAGTCTGGAAAAACATTATGAACTTTTAGCAGACCCATAAATATCAGCTCTGTGGCATCATGTGTTGTGGTTGGCTACGCGGTCACCTCTTCCTCATAAGTCCTTGAAACTATAAACAGAGAGAAGAGTTGGGAATGGCCAATTTGAGCATTGAGAAAAGGCTGAACAATGCTGTGACTTCCAGAGATCTCACCCAAAGGCAAGGATGGATCAGGGCTGACTTCTTACCAAGTGATTTTTCCTTGATGGAAAGGACTGGCAAGGCGGGATCATCTTTGTCTTTTGCATCAGGAATGTGGTCTGTCTTATGTCTGAGGAGCAAAGGAGTGATTTGGGGGCAACTGTAATTGCATTTTTGGAGTGAGTTGCTGGTCAGACTTTAACACTGTGGCATTATGCTTCTTGTGATGCGTGTAATTAAAACAAAGTAAAAATAACAACTTTAAGCCTGCTGTGGCCAAGCCAAAGAGTCAGGGATGGACTGAGCTCCAAGGAAGAGGGTGGAAAAGAGAAGAGGGTGCAAGGGACAAGTGGATTGTTTTGAAAGACAACTATGAAGCAGAACAAAAGAAAACAAGAAGGCCAAGCAAAGAGAAAAGCCAGAGGCTATCCGCAGGGATAATGGCATTTTTGTTCATTCCAAACTTATCGTAATTTCTAGACCCTGATTTACTTTTGTTCGGAGTCCAGCTGCATTTTTGGTGCATGATGAAGGGACTGGGTACTTTTATGTGTCTATTTAAGCTTTTACCATTTTCTGACCCTTTTTATTGGGTCTGCTTAAGCTTTTACCCTTTTCTCAGGGTCCATTTAAGAAGCCTGGAGTCAGCAGGACTCAGGCTGAGCAAACGTCTCGCAACTGGTGAAAATAACCTCTGGAAATACCTTGCAAGTTGGATCTTAACACCCTGATCTCCCTACAAGGGACCTTCATGTTGTGCTAGCCCATAAAGCAAAAAGGCAGTGTTTTCCCAGTGCCAAAACCAAGCAGCTCTCAGCCTGTGTCCTGCCCAGTCACCACCCCTTGCTCATGCTGGGTGCCTGGAGCTTTGCAGGGAATGAATAACCTGATAGATCTGCCCATTGAGGGATGGCTCAGCAGGGATTTCCATGTTTTGTTTTATTGGCAAATATTGGTAGCATTTTTACCCAGCTCCTGGAAACCAATGGGCTTTTCCATTCCTAACATCTGCACCCATCACTTCTTTCACCATGTAGCAAGCTGAGGACTAGTGCTAACTCACACCTACAACTTCTAGGGTAACATGCCAGGTGTCCAGGCTACTACTCAAGGCAAATGTCTGTGTGCTGTGATGATCTGTCAGGCTGTCCAACAGCAAAGACCTACAGAGCCCACCATGTACCCTAAGGCATGAAGGCAGAAGGTCTTTGATGATCTGGGCTACAGTTAGTGACATGGCTTGGTGCTGTCTTAATGACATGCAATGGGAATGACTATTGTTATTCTTCAATACACATGTAGCTATCTCCCTGGCTAATGATGGTGTATGTTGGGTGGAGAAAGGGAGGAGGTGGCCCCTTGGCTACATCAAGAGCTGAAGGAGGAATGGTCTGTGAGGCTGTCCCAACTCCAGTCTTTAGTAAAAGCCTCGTTTGGTGATTTCCACTGAAGAAATGGCAATATCATTGAGAATCTGCAGTTTGGTGATGGATGAAAGCCGCTTCTGCCGATGCTTGTACTGCAAGATTTTGTTTTCATCAATGAAAACGTGGAAATAGTCCTGGTCAGAGTAGATTTCAACCTGAAAGAGAGACTGTGTTAGGTCCATCATGTGGCCACGTGTCCTTACTGGACCTTGTTGCCATCATGTCTGTGAGTGCCTCGATATGGGTGCATGCGTCTGCAACCCAGTAGAACCCTGCCAAAGCTGACATACACTCTGTTCATCCCCATTTTGGGAAAAGAGAGAGAATAACTGTGTTCTTTGCTTCATGATAACAGAAACTGGTGATAAAGCAAAGCCTAAATTGAAAACAAATGGAGCATCCAAGAATTACTGTTAGAGCTCTGTGTTTCTGTGCCAGAGCTGGGTGTAAATCAGCAGCAAATCAGGGTACAACAGAAATACTAACAGGAGACAGAGCCAGAAAGGGGATGCTACTTGGTATAGTGCTGCAGGAAAAGCAGGGCTAGATCCATGAGGAGGACCCCAGTGTTGGCTGGGTCATTCCTGTCCCACCACTGAGGACATCTATGGGGTGACAGGGGGTTACCTGGAATGACTCCTTTGCTTTGAAGGGGAAGGTGTTATTAACCTCTTCCTTCCCCCAGTGGTTGGCAAGGAAGGAGTTGCAGACGATCCTGGAGCTGGAGAAGCGAGGATTAAAGTGGAGAGCGATTTGGTCTCCAGGATCACAGAGCAAGTTGATTTCAAACCTGGGACAGGGAGAGAAAGAGGAGATGGAGTGATGCTGCTGCCTCTTGTGAGCTGGGATTGCTGCAAGCAGTGTCCTTACATGCTTGTGCTGGAACTGGTCTCACCCTTGACCACGACGCTCCAGCCGGGACACATCCCCTCCGGGTACAGGGCTTCAAACTGCCGACAAGGAGATGATGGTGAAACATGGTAAGGTGGAGAGGTGCACAGCCCCATTTATTCCTTATACTTCTCCATCTTTCTCATCCTGTCATTGTTTTCTCCTTTCTTCCCCATTCCCATTCAGGTATTCTCTGCCCCTGCCTCTTTCTCACTTCTATACAATCTCAGGGGCTCTGTATTGATAAGAAATGAAGCTGCTGCTCCAACATCCAGGGCATGAAGTGGGATTTGCTGTCCCTGAGGTCTTTTGTGAAGAGCTGGGTGCGATCAAGGAGCAAAAATTGAAGAGGAACCTGGCTGCCTTCATCATCAGCAGGACACAAAGACACTGCTCCTCTGCCTGCCTGGGCAATACAAAATCAGAAGCAGAAAACTTTGTGATGCTTCAAAGCAGGGTGCGAAAGACGAGGAATGGGTGTAACGTGGCATCCAACCTGCCCTCATCTAGCATTGCATGGGAGGCTCTTCCCATAAGCTCCTGCCTGGTCCCCCATTCCACCTACTCCCCCATCTCCAAATTTAAACTGGCACAAAATGGCCTGGAAAATATTACTTTTTAAATAATACATAGTTTTATTAAATAACTCATTCTAATAAGAAGTGCTTGGTCATCTCACCCTGCTTTTTTTAGCATTCTAATGATCCTGCATTTCTGATCATCCCTCTCTCCCAAACTTTTTGCTTGCACTGGAAAGACCTTTCCAGCCTTGGCACCTCCACAGCCTTTCCCTTCCCATTTCTTTATCTGCCATGATGCCTCATTTTCCAATGCATTTTTGGGATATGCATGCTCGTAGGCAGGAGCTGAGACATGACCATGGCCAACCTTATGCCCTCGTGCCTGGCTACTCTTGGAGGGCAGCTTTGGGAACCTGCACATGGTTGTTTAAAGGCTCTGACCACACCAGTGTTCACCCCTGTGAAACACAGGGAGCTGATGGAACTGATGTTCCTTTTTTAAACCAGTGGTGACAGCAACAACCAGGTTCACCTTCCCTTAATTCTTGGCTTGTCATCACTGTAACAAGCCCAGCAAAAGGCACACCATGAACACAGCAAACAGCAGTTCCCTCTTTGCTGCTGGCTGTTCCAGCAGGGATGGATGGCAAAGCATTGGTTGTATTTCAGTCTCAGCTCAAACCCTCCCAGCCAGAAGTGCTGCAGCATTGCCCCAGATCAGCCCTAGTATACCCAAGGCTAAACATCTGTCCTATTGACCTTTATTGAGAGCCATGAAGGTCACAGTTTTGCAATAGCCTGGACCAGACTCAAATAGGGCAGCACCACAAGTTTCATCCCCACGTCTTTCGGGATTTGTATCTTTCTTGCTCTTATCTGTGCCACTTTCCTTTACCTACTCTTTGACCCCATGCCCTCAGACAGACCAGGCTGTGCCAGATGCACTTACCCTCAACGCCATCCTCTTGCCTGTCCTCGTCCTGCAGACCCACCTTGGGTGCATGGCTGGAGGGGTCTATATAGAGGCCACCAGCCTGGAGCCCACATGTGTGGGATTAGCATCAACAGGAGCTGAGGTCTTGCTTTCAGAGTGGGCTTGGACATGGGGAGCAGTAAATCCTGGTGCCTGCCCAGCAGGGTCAACCTGCTCATGCATGCAGGGCTAATCCAGCCCTGCTGCTGCCTGCACAAAGGCAGTGGTGACCAGGCAATCCTGAGCTGTGAGTGATGGAGCTGGCGTGAAGCAATGATGGGCAGACAGGCATTCACACTGTGGTCTGTGTGTAATGCAGGAAGGATGGATGGATGGGGGCTCCCAAAGCTCAAGAGTTACTGGGAGTCCCATCCACTGCAAGGTCCAGAGAGAGGGGAGGTGGCTCCGAAGGGGCTCAGCTTCACCCTAATTATCAGAGATTCCTTTTTCTCCCTGTTTTCTTTCTATTCACTCCCTGTGGGTCACAGCCTGGTCTGAAACAAGCTGATGCCAGCTCTGTCAGAGCTGCTTTTCCACCTCGCAGCACCCTCGTGTTGGTGGGACTCGGGATGCTGCTATGCTGAGCTCAGCAGGCCCCAGCTCTGCGCTTCCCTTCCCTGCTGGGGACAATACAGGGATTTGGGAGCCTTTGTCCGATATTTCCTGTCATGGAAAAGCACCAAGAAATGAGCAGCGATGAAATGAATGTCAGTGATGGGGATTTTCAGGCTGACAGTCAGCATGTACAGCTGGGTGAAGCGAGCCAGGGAAGGGAGGGATGGGTGCACCCCCTCTTCTTCACAGGGTAAATGCATTAAAACCAGATGCTGGCCCCATCCCTGCATGCACAGCAGGCTGCAACGCTTCCCGGCTGGTCCTACAGGACTTCATGGCTTTCATGGTTAAAACTTCCTCACTGTATGGGCAGCAGTGCTGATGTTACTTAATGTGTTTATTCTATTTCCAGCAGATAAGCAGAATGGGAGCTGCTATCCCAGGCTCTGGTGCCCTTGGCAGATGATTAGAAATGCAATCCAGAGGACATAGAAGCCAATAGGATCTCTCGGGGCTGAAGAAGCCGAGTCCCAGCTGGGATTTGCCCATTTGGACTCCTACAGAACTGAAGCTTGTGAAGCTGAGCTCTGCCGTGGTCTCCTTGCTCTGTACCAGCGAGCAGTGGAGCAGAGCTCTGTGCTACAGATGGCAGCATTGGGACGTGCAAAGGAGCCGTGAGCCAGCAGCAGAGGTGCTGAAGTGGTGATGCCAGGGCCAGGGGCATCCAACCCATCCCTCCAATGCTGGACATTGGCCTCTCCCATGTGCCCGGCTGTGTTTTCACCCTTAAATCATCCCTCCCTGATTGTTCCTCCTCTCAGTCAGGCAAAGGACTGCAGGGAGAAGGGACTGCTTGTGGGATGCTGGACAAAACCAGACTGCATTGCAGTCCTGCACATAGGAGAGGAGTGAGCTGCAAGCTAAATAACTGTGCCAGGTTTATCATAACTATGCTAATGAGATCAGTGCACTGGGGAAGGCTTGGGCACCACAGGCCAGGTCACGGTGCAGTGGGATAACAGAGGATGTCAAACCATGGTGGGACAAATGCCATCTCTTTTCCTTGCCCAGAGGCTGCATCTCACCCACATAGGGCAGGAACCAGCGTGAGTCACGACCTCTAGAGAAGCTGCTGTAGCTCTTTATGGTTTCTTTATGATTGTATGCTTGTCACGAATCTGTGCACATAGTCTGACCTGGCAGGGTGATGCCCCAGCCACACCGAGTCTCCTTCCAGTTTCCACTGGTTCCAGCAACAGGCAATGGAATTTGCTTCCCTACTGCAAAAAGCTGCCTCGGGCCAAGCAGCACTGGGAGCCATAGGGCTGCCCTGTGGGAGAACAGCAGTAGTGAAGGCAGGTTTGGAGAGATGGGAAAACTCTGAGGGAAGGAAGGGGAGTTTAGATTGCTCCAATTCTGGGGAGAGCAACATCTGAGATACTCAGCACTTCCCAAAATGCACGGCTTTGCTTCCTGTTGGCATCTCAATGAGAGCAAGAAAGGTTGCTTGGGAAAAATGCAAGCACAAGCGTTCCACCAGTATGTGGTGCCCAAATACCAACTGGTTTTACAAGCGCTCTTTTATTTGCCTTTGTGCTGCTGCTCAGAAGCTATCATAGCATCTGTCTGTTTAGCAAAGAGGAAGGTCTGTAAATATGTATAAACCTCAGATGCTGGAGGCAGCACTGGGTGGTTGGTTCTCAATGTCATAACTTTTCCCTCTGTTTGGTGATGGATGGAAGAACCTCACACATGCTGATTGTCTGCCACTGGCATACACAAAAGACAGATACAGGCTGAGGTGGAGGGAGTCTAGCATAGGAAAGGAGAATGGTTTGGTTAACTGCAGGGGAGGCATTAGCAGACCTGCTTATGCATTTGCCAGCCATTTGCTCGTACAAGCATCAGCATTTGCACCTTTCCTCAAGCATGTGCTGCTGTTTGTCCCACAAGCAAAGTGGCAGAAACACCCAGTGAGGAGCTGAGCACTCTGCTTCCCACGGGAATTTTCATGCAAGGCTCCCCTGTGCTATGCCAGGTGCTTTGCTAGACCTGTGATTATTTCCATTGATCTCTAGAGGTCTCCAAACACACAGCCTTGATTTTCAGGACCTGAAGGCAGTGCTCAGCAATACACCCTGTACATTGGTCCTCTCCTTGTGCACTGCCTGCCTCTGCAATGCACCCACCAAGTGATGCTCCGGTATCTGACACCTACTAAGGTTTTACTGTGAGCTCGTGTAGGAAAGAGGTGTCCATCCCATGATTAACTCAGTCGAGCCCTAATGTGAGTGGTTGGTAAAATATCTGTCCCATATCTGCCTTGTTCTGCAGGCTGGGAGCATCAGCACACAGACCTGGCTGTGCCCATGCCTGCCTGATATTGCTATATGTGTCCTCAGACATTATTGCACAGCCCTGTGTCCAGTTAATATTCACTCACATGTGTATTTACATGCATATATAGCATCCACTTGACCTCAGCAATATATTCCTACTGGAGGCCTGTGATCACAAATCAACCCACATTCCTTAAATACACCAATGCAAACAAGCCACCCCGGTGCTCCTGTGTGGCCCATGGACTTGCAAAGCTGTTTTGCTGCCTAATGGCCATAGCAGGGTGGATGTGGACACATGGATGCTGCCAGACCTGGGCTCCCCTTGAAGTCACTCTTGGCTAACTCTCTTAGGGCTGGCCCAGGGGCCTCCAGCCTTGCAGTCTTGTGGAATAGCTTTATATTAAGCTGAGAAATGATGTATTTTTAGTGCTGGGCTCTCAACAGTGAGACTGCAAATGATGCCATAGCAAAGTCCCTTGCTTTTTCTTGCTTTGAGCATCCCCATCCAGCCAGCACCCATTACCTGTCTGGGGAGAGCACCATGACTCCCTCCTCTAAATCAGGGATGCAGGTCTTTTCCTCCACCTCTGGAGCCAGTGATTCAGTGTCTTTCCTAACCTTCCATGCTCTTTGTTTGAGGACAATAGCTTTGCAGAAACAAAGACATAATGGAACAATAGCCCGGGTGCAAGCAGAGCCTCTGGGCATTGCCTGTGTGCTCCAGGGAGGCTCAGCTCTTTCTCTTTGGTTATTCCAAACCATGTGGGTCTCCCAGAGCCTTCCCTACCAGACCAAACCAGGGGCTGTGTTTTCCCTATCACACACCCCTGTGTGAGGCTTCTCCAGACTTGCTTATCTGCCTCTTGGCAGTATTTATACCTCCTCCACAGCCATTCCAGTTTCTCCAGGGAATTCCTAAAGCTCCCCCGTGCAATCAGGAGTGAGCTCTCTGCTCCAGTCACACCGCCTCGGGAATGTGTTACTCTGGGAAGGGTTTTGGCACGTTGCTTTGCCAGCTCACCCTGATTCCCTTTCCCCCAGACCTACAGCTCTGCATTAGCTCCCTGCTCCCGACTGGGAGCTCTCTTCAGTGCTGTTGTCTACAGCCAACATCCAGAGACCGGTCATCAGGGCTGAATGGTGTGAGTGCTCCTCCAGGCTTAATGCTGGAGAGGGAAACTGTGGCTACAACCCTTTGGAGTTAAACCTCAGTGCAACAGGCTTTGGTATCTACTTCTGCAGCCTTTCCTTGCTGTGCTTTACTGGACTGGCCAGAAGAGGGCTGGAGACTCCAGGCAAACCTCTACGATGAATGATACGCATACAAAACCTCACACATAGGTCTAACTCTAGAAGAGCCTGATGCAACACCTGCTATGCTGTGGGATGAGGATCAGCTCTGCAGCCTGCACCTCTCAAGCCTGCTTTGAGGAGACTTCTGTCTCTCACAACATGCCTGGCAGAAGGAGCCCCTTGCAGCCACTCAGCCTGAACGTCCCCAGGCAGCCTGTCAGAGAGCAGAGAAAGAAAACATCACACCCTGTAAGGTGGCAAGAGAAACAGCGAGATGCTAACACCCCGGCATACACTGGCTGGTGTTGACCGAGCTTCCTGCACCTCACTGGAGCATCAGCTCCACTAACAAGCTGCTGGGAATGGCCTTGATGCAAGCGGCTTCTGGGCCAGAATCTGTCATATCTTCCATCCTTTGACTGCTTGTTAGCAGGTCCCATCATCCTCCCGGTGCTGGGGAAAGGGAGGGCATGTCCTCTCCCTCAGCAGCTGTTTGGGTATGAAATCTGGTTTTATTCTTGTTGTCCAGTAAGCGGGAAAAGGAGCCTGGTGTGGTCCTGGTCAGTGCCATGAATATGAATCACTGCAAGCAAAATCTCTGCCTCTCACTACACCCTTTCCCCACGCAGATGAAAGGGGAAGGTGATCCCACCCCTGTCTCATTTGTCCCATGAACTGGCACAAGTGCAACTGAGGCCAAGCCCGGAGCTTCTGTTGTCCCTGCACATCTCCTGCTTGCCGTTCAGGACTTCCCTTTGCGTGGCTTTGAGGAGCAGGGATGAAAGGCAGGGCAGTGGAAACACAAAGCACGCCTGGTTTATTTTATTTAAGACTAGACTCTGCTTAAAAGGAAACCAGCATTATCAGCTCCAGCACCGCCAGGTCAGATGAGTAAATGAAAGAGGAGGGTTTAGTTTATGATCTGGAGCTTGAATTTGCTCTTATATGGGCATCCCCACAAGGCGTTGCTTGCTGCCACCTTGACTCTACGCATGTCATGGGGATGGCCAGGCTCCAGCCAGAAACTGAGGCAGAGGTGAAAGGCAGTAGGCAGAGAGAGAAGTTGAGTTCAGGTTGTATCTACTCTTACTTCCTTGGCTCAGGGCAGTTACACGTGCTGCAACACAAACGTTGCTGCAGCCAGCACATCCCAGCCCGTGGGTATCCATACCTGCCGCATCATTATCCAGCCAGTCTTTGTGAGCCAGGACTTCATCATTTCTTGCTCAGTTCCCCTTGGGTAAAGCTGCCCCAAAGCAGGTCCCATTGCCCTCACCAGCTGGAAAGGAGTGGTGGGTTTGGGGCATGGCTCACCCATCAGTCCTGCTCAGCACTGCAAGATGCAGGCAGGCAGAAGGTAAACACGCGACCTGGCACGGGCAGTTGTTTACTGCCCGGGGTTCATAGAGCAAATATTTGATCCTCCGTAAATAATTGCCCCGTTGTATATGCAGGGACCTGATTTATCCTGCTCCTTGGTGCTACCTTCCAAACTCCCTCGGGAGACATCTGTCTCCCTCTTCCTGGTGATTAATGGGGAAGGAGGAGAGCTGGCGCTGGGCCTCGCTGTGCTCCTCGGAGTCAGTGTGGGTGTACTGCATGTCCTTCCATGGTGGTCTCTGGCTCAGAGCTAAAGCAATGACAGGTCCTCAGAAGGAGGGGGGGGTACATGTGAACTCTCCGTGCTCATTTACATTGAATCCTTGGTTCCTGGGGAGCATCATCAACATTGCTGAATTCCCCTCAATCCCCCATCACCTCACTGCAAACTCTTGCCAATTCAGAAGTGTTTCCCAGCGGCTTCCCAGGTGAGGTTAGTCTCCAAGGGCCAGGCTTTGAGCAGCTCTTTTTCTATACTGAGTGATTTACTGCCCCGAAACACGAGAGGAGGGGGAGGCACATCACTAGAGGGGCTGCAGCTTGGCAGCATGCTCTGCTCAAGCACCGGGCTGTGAACACAAGTAACAGCAAGACCATCTCTTTATGATGCTCTTCCCTGCAAGCTTCATGCAAGCTCCTTGGCCTGGGAGAACACATGGCAACTTGCCTGAGCATG